GTCTCAATTCAGCCCAGGACAATGCATTGAGCTTCATTATCAGTTGCAATTAATCAGTCTCTCTTTCTTATCTCCCTTTGAAATTCCTTTGTAAAAGAACTGCAACTCTTAGGTCAGCACGTGAATGTCCTAGAAGGTTAAAATGTCCCCCACTGGTTTTTTAACGTTGTGGTTTCTAATAGCAGTAGAAATAGTAAGAGTTCAATAGCATCTTGAAGACTAACAAAATTTGTGGTTGGGTATGTGCTTTTATAAGTCACTGCTCACTTCTTCATACTTATTTACACTTATTCTTTGCATTCTCCTGGAGTGAATCCTTCTGGACCAAACTGAGATCTAGGTTTCCTGTCTAATGAGACAGGAAACCTAGATCTCAGTTTGGTCCAGAAGGATTCACTCCAGGAGAATGATGATATCTCCACACCTACTACCCCTCTGCATATCACACCTAATCCAATCAAGCCTATTGCCAATCAGCATCTGAAATCATCTTTATAAAGTTTATATCTCCAGTGTCTCGTGATACATTTTATGGCACACATGGTCCTGCCCAGCAAAGTGACATTTATGTCAGATCTGACCCCCGTAAGAAACCTCATAACAAAACACCTATGTTTTAACTCATTTCCTTGCAGAATCAGACCCTCAAGCAGCAGTGGAATGATGGCCATTCCATTCCAAGACCACCTCTGCTCCACCGAGGAGGGAAGTGCCCCCACACCTGAGTCCACTCCGTGGCTCCCTCTCCTGTTCCACCACTGGCAGAGATGGTGTGGGAGTGCCCTTGGCAGCTCGAACCCCTTCCCCACTATCAGGTATCCGGATCTGCTGACAGGAGATGGCCCCTTTAAGGAGGCAGGGGTGTGCTCCTGAAAATGAGTGGAACTCCTGAGGCCTGCCCTTCTCTGCTTCCAGCCTGCAAAGGAGGCTGGATTCCACCCTTTTGCCACATGGCCCCTGATTGGCTCTGGCAGCCCTGTACATCATAGTTCTACTGTCTCCACACAACGCCTCCAATGACCGCCAGGGCACGGACGCCACCCAGGTTACAAACAGAAAACACTGCAAATGCACCAACTTTGCTGGCCACTGTGTAAATTATGCCCTTAGGGAATAGACTAGCACCCAGGGCTGGCTCGCTCTCTAGGCGAGCTAGACTCTCGCTTAGAGCGCGGGGCCATCATGGGGGCGCCAGACTGAGCCACCCTCCCCCCCACCAAAAGCCCCCTGCCCCTGCCAAAAGCTTGGGCCGCGCACCCTGGCCACCACCGCCTCTTTGCCCCCCCCCCCATTACTTTCTAGGCGCATGCTGCTTCAGCACGCCCCTTCGCTGCCCCTAGAGCAGCGGAAAGGCGCTCTTTAAAGTGTAACGGCCCGCGGCGCCTCCTGCACCACCGGGAAATGGCCACAAAAAGTTCCCCTGCCTCCCCCAGGCCGTGAGGATTTTGGCAGGGGGGGGGGGGGTGTCTCTAATTTCCTGGCTCCTCCATCAAAGACCGAATCCAGCCAGAAGTGGGCCGGGTGGCCCGTCTCCTCCCAGTCAGGGGGCGAGGAAGCGCAAGGCTTGAGTGCCACGGAGATGGGTCGGCGGGAAAGGGGGCTGTTGGGTGAGGGGGGGCGTGTTGGTGCGTTGGAGGGTGGTTCTTTGCTGGCTTGTTTCTGATGTGCGCTCTGCTAAGCTACCGTTTTAACTTGAAATGCCTCCACCGGCTGTGGCGAGAGAGACGTGCTGGATTCTCAATGAATATTTCAGCACTTCAAGACGGATGTGTCACCGTTTTGACATGAGACAGAGGAGCCGTGGGGAGGGAGACAGGGACGCCCCCCCCCCCGCCGTGTGATTTGGGCCATTTACCACCAAGTCCGAGGACAGCAACTTCCCGAAGGCCGTGGGGGGGGGGAGGTGCTGAAGGAAGGAGGGGCGGTTCCAGTAGGTCAGAGGGTCTTTCATCCAGTTGGGAAGCCAGGGAGCCACACTGCTGTCTTTGCTATCAACTGGCCGAGGACATGGAAGAAAGTCTTCCTTCTCTCCAGGCCCCACCTGGAGGTTGGCAACCCCATAATTGGTGGGCGGGGGGCTCCAGAAGGTAGCTTTGCCTAGTGTACAAAAAGACCTGGAGCCGGTCCTGCTAGCACCACTATAGTCAAGTGGTGGCCGGCTGCTGCAGTGCAGGCGTTCCTCAGGATTGCTCTGCCAGATACCTTGGAATATCCATCTCAAAAAACCTAAATAAAATGTATCAATATTATTATAAAACAATGTGGAGACAGATAAAAATGGATCTGATTAGATGGGCAAAGCAGCACAGTTGGGACTACTCGTGTTGCAAAGATTAAAATGTCCATTCTTCCAAAATTATCTTTTTTATTTTCTGTGTTACCTCTTCATATCTCAGATAAGATTTTGAATGATTGGCAATTAAAATAAGACCAATTTATTTTTAACTCTAAAAAGCCAAGAATGGTAAAACTCCTAAGGTATCATTGTGTTTGAGAAGTCATGGCAACCTCTGGTGACTGACCCCTACTTGGGGCCTGGAGGATATTCAGAGGTGGCTGAATAAAGCCTGTCCCCACTTCCCGACTGCTGGTATTCCTTGCAGGTCTCCCATCCAAGTAATCACCAGAGACGACCCTGCATAGCTTCCGAGATCTGATGGGGTTGGACTTGCCTGGGCTATCCAGGTCATGGCACCCTCAGTTGAACAGGGAATTTTGATGCAAAATTCACAGCATCGTTAATGGCTAATAGGAAAACAGAGTAACCATAGGAGATATGATAAGATCCAAGAAAGATACCAGCAGCTGCTGCTCTCTCTGGTGCCAGAGCAGAAGTATGAAACCTGAGACCAGTCAGTATTACCAGTATTGAATTGCACTGCCCTATGTGACCCTGAAGGTGTAAGTCCCAGAGGAATATGAACATTTCCTCATTTGTGAAGACTTCATTTGGGGGGAGGAAAGTCACAGGTGCATTCACACATGTCTGTACGTCATTTGGTTTTTTCAGCTATCAAAGGTGTCACTTGGTGACTTACAGCTGAAAGTGTGAACTGGCTCGCTTAGGGAATATTGTGTCTGAGGTGAGCTGAGTGTTCTGTCAGTGGTGTTTTGGTCTGTGATGAGTGTTTCACACATGCAAGTGATGAACATGCATGTGGGAACTCATTCACAGAATCACAAAGTGGAGTGCATGTGAAAGCACTCAACAAACATGAGCTGTCTGTCACCTTCCTTTATAGTTTACATAGCTGTTAACGTAGTTTATGTAGCTGTTTCTAATTGGCTGATTCCTGTGTTGGTGTTCTCACAAAAACAGATATAGAGTCAGATATAGAATCAATGGATTTTGGTGGTCCTTTCCCCCTAGAGTCTTGTATGAAGCAGCCGGCTGTTAGTGAACATATCCATGCACACATCATGTATGGTCAAAGCTATCAGCTTTGATAATGCCCTCCATGTCTGGAGAGGACAGTGAGATGAGGAAATTTGGATTAAATGTAGGCTGAACTTCATATGAACGAAGCCCAATCAATGATGTCAAATTCATAGGGATCATCTACCAGCGAATGACCTGACTTGAGCAAAGGCCACCATGGACATAACCCTTGGTGTTAGAAGCAGGGCTTTTTATTCCACTCAGCATCCTTCTCTGTGTGCAGGTAATATCAAAAAGCACTCTATGGTTGTGTTCAGACGGGGCGTTTCAGCCGGCATAAACTGTACCGGTTGGAACCGGTGCAGTTTATGCCGGCTGAAACGCGATCACACTTACCTCCCTCACAGCGGAGCCCATCGCTGTATGCCCATTCACATGCTGCGGGCGTCGGCGTGTTTTTTTTTAAAAAAAAAACCTCAGTTTGAGTATGCGCATAGGCAGCCATCCACAGAATGGCGATCTTTGCGCATGCTCAAAACACCCCATATTACATTTAAAGTTTAAAGGTAAGGACTTACCTTTAAAGTTTAAAGCCCAAACTGGCCTCCCTGAAGTCCCGGACTCCTCCGAAACGTTAAACTAAGGGCCTTTTCTTTTTTAAAAAAAAACAAACGCTGGGGCGAAGCTTCGCCCAAGCGCATATCAGCAACCTAAAAAAAAATGGCGGGCGAAAATCGGAAGCCTCGGGCTTCCGAATGGAAGTGGCTAGACACTGGTGGAGAGCGATCAGATGGGGGTAAACCGATTACAACTGTTCTACTCAGGATACCACCACTTGGGGACCTAGTGGCAGAGTACAATGGTTTAAAGGGCTTTGCAACGGTTAGGGACGGAAGGCAGATGTTCTACGCCTGAATGCCGGTAAGTTCACCAATTGCAACCGGCACCTATTCCGTTGCAAATGCCCCGTCTGAACGCACCCTTTATGTGATAACCTGCTTCTGCACATGAATCAGCTTTGCTAGCTTAGAACTATTGCATGCAGAACTGTGCATTGTCACAGCCAACTGAAGCAGCAGTTCAATTGAATATCAGCTGCATCATAACATCTAAGCAAACATTTGTTTAAAACAGCAGTCAATACCTGATGCAACCACAAAGTGGAAATCTGTATTGATTTGGGAGCAGTTTTAGGCTAGTATCAAGAAACAAACACCTCTCTGCTTTGTTCATAAGTTCAAATATATAACTATATCTCAACTGATCATTCATCTAGCGACTGAGTCGAGATGTAACCCTAGCTAGTGCAGGCACAACAATTAAACTTTGGGTGTCACCACATTCTACTGACAGTGAAATTTGGGTAGAAATTAGGGGGCCCTTAACTGTGTCCTAAAATTGTAGAGCTACTTACTGAAATCTGCATTTTTAATCTATGAAAGGCATTCTGCATTCTCACAATATAACTCATAGGAACCACTACTTCTAACAATCTATGTAGCCTTAAGAATACAGAAAAGCACATGGCTGTGGAAAAAAAATGCATGCAAGTTTCCAAATGTACCATTTATGAAGAAAACAACACTGGTAGACTCTCACTTGCCATTTATTATCAGGAGTTTCCATATGGAGATGGAGGTATACAACCAAGACCAGATCGAAATGGCACATATGATGTCCAACACATGGCATGGTGAGTGGCTGCTCAAGGGCATCTGTGCACAGAGGAATGTTTACCCAGGTTCACATTGGCCAAACCTCTATACATCTGCCATCCTCCCTGCAGTGCCCCCCCACCGTACAGAACAGAGTCTATTTACTGTCCAAATCCATGCCAACTCAAAGGAGGTCCCATTCTGAGATCACTACTTTCCCATCTTATCCTGCTGGGACATCTCAGAATGAAATCCTCCCACACCCATTCCACAAGGCTCTCTCTCCCACAGTAGACATGAACTGTTCTTTTCTGTGGCAATCTCAACACGAAAATCTGCCCATGTCTGAGGTTTGTGGTGTGTGAAAAGTTGGAAGCATCTAAGAAGCTGGAAGAGGTGGAATTTGTCCACTATTTGGATAAATGTCCTTGACATGATCTGATACAGTCCTCTGCCCTTGCTTTACCATCTTGGTTCACAAAGTGGCACATGGGGACTCAGAGAAGTTGTACAGTGGTACCACCATTGACAGGGACTCAAACACATGTGGGCCCCGATGAGCTATTTACAAAGGGAGAGGGTGGGGACATGCAGCAAGAAAACGACCTGTGCATGCAAAGAGATATGGTGATATTGTTGAATACTAGTGTGGAGGGGGGGGCAGGGGTGCCAAGTGCCATAGCTTAGATGCAACTATGCCCACCTTAGAGATTCACCTTTTTCTTTGTCCTTTTTGCCAGAAGAAACAGGACTGTGGTAATACAGCATTGCCAGCTAGGGGAATATTAAATATTTACACACATATTTGAAAGGTGCTTAGTGGGCTGGTCAAGTAACGACAGGAGCCCCCCCCCCCAGCACCTCCAGCATCTACCATCTTCTAGTAGCCTCCATGATGGCAGAATACACTGACCCCACTGGAGTTTGTCAGAGCTGGTACAGTGCAGTCTCCCAAATTTAGAAGAATTTATAGTCCTCAGCTATATCTGTACTTCTATACCACAGGAAGGCCCAGTAGAACCTCTCACTCCTCTCTGGCCTCATATATTCAACCAATTCCCTTCTAGTGCCCTGGAAGGATACAGAACACAGGGCATGTTTCATAATACCTGAGAACAGGTACCATCCTGCCATTTATGAGAGGGCATACAGTTGCCAACACAGATAACCGCACTGTACAGGACAGGTGCAGGGGATAGTGTGGATGCCTGCAGTGGCAGAATTATAGCACCATGGGCATTGATTGCTTTGAGCGTATGACATACCTGAAGTGCCAGGAGAAAGACATGCAGAGCAGCAAGCAAAGACAAGAGCTAGGATGCTGCCAGTGCAAACTCAGGAGAGAATTGACTGCTGGTGCTCAGGGAAAGGACTGCAAGGGGGTCCCAGACGCCATCCCCATCCCAACCCAGCTCATTGTGCTGGATTGATCTTCAGTGGTTATTCAACCTTTAGCAAAAGGGCACAGTTAGGATAATGTGCCCAAGACTCAGGTGAACAGAACTTGGACAGTGACACGTCTGGGCAAGAAAGGGTGACAGAAGAAGACCCAGGGAGTGGGAGAGCAGTCTCCCCGGAAGCCCTCAAGAAGCATCCCCACCGCAGGGTGTCAGGATCCCAGGCACTGACTGTGGGCTTATGTGGGTGGGAACTCCACTTGGGCAGAGCTGACTCATCCCCGATGGATGACTTTGCCCTTGCTGGTTGTCACAAACCCCAGGGGTGTCACAACACTCTTTGCTGGCATCCTGACCCCCCTGGGGGAGCTCAGAAGCGGGTGCTCTGATAGCGTAGTCTGCGGATCTCGGAGACACCATCGTCCCGGCAGTACAAATCCCTGCCAGGACTCTCTGCCAGTCACCGACCCCCTGCGCCTCCGCCCCCACCACCAGCACTGCTGCTGCTGCTGCTGGAGCTGCCTGAGCTGGAGCTGCTGCAACGGTCCTCGTAGATGGAGACCTCAATCTGAAGGCGGGAGGTTAAGGGCAATGTGGAGGAGAACGTGGGAGAAACAGCCCCTACTCAACTAAATAGGCTGACTCTCCAATGCACCGACTCAGTTATACTGCAAGATATCAATGTGGCTGGCCGTTAAACCTGTTGTAGGTAGTAGTAGTGGTAGCAGTAGTAATCTAATGTATAGCTCAGCTTTTCACTGTGAATGAGAGCAAATGACAACATACGAAAAGCAATTCACTCAAACAGCAAAGACTTCCAATAAACAGTGCAGTAGGACTAGGGTTACAGAACTGTCTAAGGCATGACGTACCATGATAAAGAAAGGGTACATAATAAACAAAGGTAGAGGACAAGAAAAATGGGAAGTGATCCATACAGTAAGCAGTGAAATAGACTACAGCCCTATGCCTTACAGAAACCACCTCCTGTGCAGTTCTTTTATACTACCATTCTATTTCCTTCCTAAAAATGCCCTCTGGAACATTTCAAACCTTAGATGTTTTCGTATGTGCTGTGCAAATCCAGAGTGACAGCCCACTTTTCAGGCAGCTGCTTGGTTGGTTGGTCTATCCCTCCCTTTCTCCCCCCTCTCTCCCTCTCTCTTACACACACACACCAGCAGCACTGAATGATCAGGAGAGAGGGAGTAAAAAAAATACAATGAATCCTCTCAGTTCTTTCCTGTTCCCCTGCCAAGCTACCTATAACGTTCTGCAGTCATTCGCATTCAAAGCAGCCAAATTCTACCCCCAGTCAGCCGCCTCATTTCCCCACAGCTTTCTCAACTTATCTCACTCTGTTGGTGTGTTTCTCAATTAGCATGAGCCACCTTGCTCAGTAGTTCAGAGAAGTGAGAAGGGCTGTGTGGGCTCAGTTGTCATTTTCCCAATTTTGCTTCTCAACACCACTTACCTAAGAGATAGCAAAGCTGTATGCCCTTGCTAGGTGCAGCATGACATGAGTCATATGGCATTCAACTGCATTCTTGCTTAACTGTGAACTGATTTCACAGATAAGGGATGCACAGTGTGAAAATGCACATCATCCCTCGTCTCTTGTCATCAGTTGTCTTTTTGTTCTAATAATATGAAAGTGATAACTTGCTTTTTTTTCACTTTCCCCCACCATTCATGTACTACTCTAATTACTTCTTTTAACTACCTCTTTCATGAGTCAAATGATCCAAATTTACTTAGGATGCAAGCCTACACTGACATGGGAGTAAATTCTGCTGAATTCAGTATGTATTTAATGTGTGCATGCATTGAGATTTTCTGTACATTTTTACCTCTCAATAATCCCTAAATGTCTGCATTGTTGAAGGCTGGCATGCAGCTTCTTTATGTACTCAGGGAACTATCCATCATGATTCTACACAGTTTGGGAGACTTTGGAGCAAAAATCTCTGCTAGGTTGAAGGTAGGGCTGAGGGTGTGGTGGAATAGATCTGACACATATGTGAGAGTTAGAAATATGGGGTTAGGTTTCACCCTTGGGCAGCCAGGAAGGATACAACCCGCATGCCTCGTTCCACTGGGTCCGTCAACAACAACCCCCGGGGAGCATAGATTTTCTCATTCTGCTCCTGGATGTACTTGGAGATCTTCTTTAGGACCTGGGGAGAGAATTGGAGAACCATTCAGCAAAGGTGGTGCTCAGTTAGTGACCTCAAAAGAATGAGACTCAAGATGGGGAAGAGGATGCCTTTAACTGAACTGTCTGAAGTTGTCATCTACTTCCAAACTGAAAGAGAGATCCATGAAGCCTAAATCCTTCACCAACAGAAGCTCATATTGGTGGAGATACCCTATTCCCATCTCTGACCCATAACCATCTCGCTGATTCCCCATGACAACTCATCTTACTGCCTACCTGCTTTGACACTGAGCGTGTTACTCCTAATATTCACTTTACAGTAGTTTCAAAAGTATGATTTATTCTCTTCTGTGCTATTGACTGTTCTGTGCTATTACTGCAGTGCATTTTGAATACACAGGAAACCAGGGTCTTAAGACGCTGAAGGCAATGCAGGAAGGTGTATTTACATTCCCTCGGGTTACAGAATCTGGAAGCAAGGCTATTCGCTGCATCTGAACAATCCACTGGTTTTTCTAGCCCTGAAAAATTGAAAGATGGGAAGTCTTACAGGCAGTCTGGCACAGAGAGCATTCCTTAAACTTTGAATCAGAGAAAGCTTATCAATTTCATTTGAATGTTGTCAATTCTACCATGTATAATTAGAAAGTAGCCTCTCCCTGTATTAATCACAAAAGCAGAAAAGTCAGACTACCCACAGATAATGCAGTGGGGTAGACACCCCAAATATGCAGAAAATACTCAAAAGAAAAAAGAAACAAAGTAGTTTGGTGAGGACTAGATGGGTTGGATTCAATTGGATTTTCTGCTACCAAAAAGGCTACTTGTGGGGCCTGCATGGACAGAAGCTATGTGGGATGGGGAACTGGGTGAGACTGAGTGAAAAAGCTGGCTGAATTCAGTTTTTCTCCAGAAGGGACAGAATGTTGAGAACTGTTGAGAGTCCAATAAAGAACAAGAGGGCACAGACGTAGACTATGGGAGGCAGAGGTGGCCAAGCCCCCCGTGGATTTCCTGGAGGGGGCAAAGACCCCCTGGGCTGCCAGGTACCATCATGAAGCTGCTTAGACTTACACTGTGCAGTCTCATCCTCTCCACTTGCACAGAGGCTGCCAACTCTGCTTTTCTTTCTCTGGGACTTTTGGATATTTACCTGCCACACAGGAGCACCCCTCCACTGTCTTAACTTATATTTTCCCCCTCTGGGATCTTTGTGGAAGTTCTGCTTAAAAAGCCACTACTCTCAACCTGTGGATCATTGAAACAGACAATGTACTGGAAGTTACGGTTATTTTGGTATCCTGGGACTTGCAGCTTTAGCGAAAAAGGAATGGAGGGGATGAGAATATTTCTATCTTTAGCCACAGCGGGGGGAGAAAAGGTCTGTATCTTAAATGCAGGAAGTTAAGGTGATTTTGGTATCCTAAGACTTGCAGCTTTAGAGAAAAAGAAATGGAATGTATGGGAATAGCCAATTTCTTTGGTCCCTGTGCATCTGTATGGGGGAGGGTGGGCAAATATAGAAAATGTGGAAATTCCAATGTCCAAGACCCTACTTGAGCTAAACAAATGCTCCCATAATTTCAAGTAAAGGTATCTCAGAAGCCAGTATTTACTATGGATTTACTGTAGATTCTGAGATGCACTGGCGATTCATACTGAGTATCCAATATGTGAGCAGTATAGTTGTTAAGAGTGTTGGTCTAAGATTGGGGAGACGAGTTCCAGTCCCCACTTAGCACACTATGTGACCTTGGGCCAGTTAAAAACTCGGGCCTAAGTTGTGAGGAAAAATTTACTCCACCTGTCTCAATGAAGGAGTTCATGACATCTTTCCTCTCACAGAGCCCTCTTTCTTTGATTAAGATTCAGATTATCATGAGTGAAAAAACTGCATATTTAAAACCACATGATTGTTGATGGTGTGTTTTTTTTTTGAAATATACATAATTTCATATTTAATTTAATATAGAGTGTGGGCCTGGACCAGGTTCACACACACACACACACACAGAGACACTGAGAAGTCTACACCCCTGAAAGAGGGGAGGGGAAATTTCCTTGCTTAATCTCTGAAGAGTTTACAAAATCTAGGAGGGGTTTTCCAGATTGTTTCCTTCTTGTGATTCACAGATCCCCACAGGACCTCAGCTTTTTCTACCAGTATTCTTCCCTAAGCAAGGAAATACAAGATACTGCCTATCAAGGTACTGGGGCCAGTGTACTTGGAGCACCGCCTTCTCCTACGTTGTCCAGCCTCCAGTTAAGATCTACCTCACAAACCCTGTTCTCTGCCTTTAGAGATTAGGCAGTGGCAACTAAGGGCCTTTTCAGTAACAACATCTCATCTCTGGAATGCCCATACCCTTGAGGTTTGCCTAGCCCCTATGTTGCTTTCTTTTCGGTACTAGGCCAACACATTTCTGTTCACCCAGGTTTACAATTAAAAAGTTGATGCCCTGACCTGGATAGCCCAGGCAAGCCCAATCTTGTCAGATCTCGGAAGCTAAGCAGAGTTTACTCTGGCAACTGCTTGGACGGGAGACCTCCTTGGAATACCAGAGGTGGGAGGTGGGGACATCCCTTATTTAGCCACCTCTCTGAATATCCTTCCAACCCCCAGTAGGGGTCAGTCACCAGAGGTTGCCATGACTTCCAAGTGCACACACATTCACACGTGCACACGCACACACACATGAAAAGTACAAAAAAAACCCAAAAGAAAAAAAGAGTTGATTTTAACACTGTTTTAGTCTGGAAATTGTTATTTTAAGCTGTTGGCGGTCTGTCTTTATGGTCTGTGTTTTGTTTTTGTGGGTTTTTTGTAAGCCACCATGGGCAGGTTCCTGGAGAGATGGCATAAACATTTTCTAAATAGTAAATATCAACTTCTGTGTATAAGAAAAATTCATGTTTTTGAGGCCAAAGCAAAGGTCTCTAAACTAGAGAACAGAATCAAAGAATCTGGATGTATCTGTAACAGTGTTGTTGTTTTTTAATCTCTAGGGACTGGATGTGTTCACTGAGTACATCCTATCTTGCAATCTGCATGCACCATGAACAGAAAGAGTCCTGGCCAGATCTCCCACCCAAGTATCAGAGACAATAGCAGAGTCAATGCTGACCACATTGTCTTCATAACTTGATGTGGGTGCACAGAGTCACACCATACTTAAGGAAAAATTAATAAAAACAGCAGAGCTGAGTAGAAATGGCCTGATTTAACTCCCATTCTGCCTCCAAAACATTTTGAAGAGCCAGGCTTAGAATTCAAATGTCAAGACCATACTACCTCTACCACAATTCACAATAGTGACATTATAAACTCTGTTGTAACTGCTGCATTTATTTCTACCTAAGAAATGTTCTTCCATTCCCTGGGTGAAATCACTGTGTTTTGTTCAATCCCAATCATCCCCCCTCTCAAGGTTCACAAATTATTATTCTTGGCATAAGAAGAGGGCAGCTGAAAATGAGTAACTATCATTGTCGTGATCTGGGCTGTGCCACCAGAGGCCTACTAGGCCCAGGGAGCCTGGCTAGCAGTAGGTGAGAGGTTTTGGCTAGCAGAGCCTGGCTAGCAGATGCCCCTGAGAGGTTTTGGAGCCAAAACTGACCTATAGGAAAAGAGGAGGGCTTGGAATAAAAGATCTGGTGCAGCAGGAAAAGCTGTTATTCTTCCCAGGGGACAGATCCAGAAGGGACTGAGGTTGCTGTAGGGAAGAGACACTCATCTTGAGGGAAGGGTGAGTAGTCTAGTGCCACTTGGAATAGTGAGCTAGGGACAATATATATTTAGCATTTGATTTCTTTTCTTTTCACCCACTTACTGTTATATTTCTGCACCTTGTTTGTTTGACCTCTTAGAAAGTAAACTATTTTTATTGTTCACTCTGCCTGGTCCTCACGCCTATTATTCGGCCAAAAGGGAGGTCTAAAGGCCTGGGAAGGTGCTCTGGGCCTTCTCAGAGGAGCCTGGAACCAGAGTGGTGGGAGCATCAGGTGACACCCCACCTGAGCTGTGACAATCATCTAGAAGATCATTTTTAATCCATGTTTCATCAGATACAGATACACAGTTGTACATGGAGCAACTCGCCATATATCAGCTGAACAGCTGCCAGCCCTCTTACCCATACGTTCTGCCTCAGAAAACTGCCAAGCTCGTTAACCCAGAGCCCTCTTTATTTCTGATCCCGGGGGGGGGGGGGGGGGGGGATCACACGACCTATGTTAGCTATCCTTAGATTGGATACTGTGAGCAGTGTTCCCTCTAAGCTGAGTTAGTGTGAGCTAGCTCACCATTTTTTAGCCTCCAGCTCACACATTTTTGTCTTCGCTCAGGAAGGATGGCTCCAGAGCAACTAATTTATGCAGTAGCCAAATTGCTCGCTCACAACTTTAATGCCAGTAGCTCACAAAGTCGAATTTTTGCTTACAAGACTCCACAGCTTAGAGGGAGCATTGACTGTGAGTACACTTGGCAGAGAGCTGCAAACAATCACGGGTCTTTGCACAAGTGTACCTATGTGATACTTGCTTCTGCTCCAGAAGTGGATGTCTTTAAGAATCCCATAAGTGGAGCTCTTAGCACTGGAACAAGGCTTTGTGCCCAGGATATGTCCCTTTGCAAGGGACAATCTGGTTATATATGATTTTGGGACATCCAAAGCTTGCCTTTGAGATACAGAGCTGTTTAAATATCAATATTTGTGGTTGGATTGGAGACTGAGGAACCAGGAACAGTGAATGGGAAACTGGGAACTAACTTCAACCTCTTAGGAGGACAGACTAACAGAATCAAACTGAATGGAATTCTCAGGTTACCTTACCACCTGTTTGATGACAAAACAGATCTGTTGCCAGCTTATTGATTGCAAACACTGCTATAAGAAAACAGAGTCATTTTGCAGTTTCTGTAGGTTACAGAGACATTCATTCTTCACAAGGAAAGAATCCTAACCAAAGGAAAGAATGGCATTTGAGAATTTGCTGTTCAAAGGGATGTTCCTTGCTTCTGGCCACAGAGTGTCACTCCATGCTTTGCACCCTATTGAGTTTAACCCTATGGATTCCCATTGAGACTGAGGTGCTTGATTATGTGTTCCGTTTGCACTACCATATCTAGATAGGCTCCTAGAGAAAGCAGTGAGTTACATAGACAGTACTCTTATATGCTATCTGAAGCATTTCTTCTCCCCATAATAGGAAGACACTGATCCTTTAAAGAGGGGTGTGCTTTAGAGCCAAACAAGCCCCTGGAGTTCTGTGGTCAGCTCCTCTCCTAAAAGATATAGTTTGGCTTGGGGATCCCCAACTTTTTAAAGCCTGCAGCAGACACCTTTGGAAGTCCAACATAGTGTGGTGGACACAGTCACAAAATGCCTGCCACAGGAGATGTAGCCAGCCACCAAATGGCTGCCGCAGCTTACCTTCAGCCACACAGTGAAGACCTTTTGAGCTGTGGTGGTAGCTGCTGCCAAAGCAAGATTTTTTAAAAAATCTGCACAGCCAATCAGAAGCCTGGGAGGGGGGGTTAAAAGCTTCATTTGGACCCGCCCACACTCTAAGAGCACTTGGCAGGCACCAGAAAAGGTGTTGGTGAGGACCATGGCACCCACAGACACCACTCTGGGGACCCCTGTTTAGTTGGCAAAAACAGCTGGGGGGCAATGTGTACTGAAGCCACTGCACTGGAGAAGGGTTTTTCCCCAATTGGGTATACACAATAAAGGAACTTTTGTTCCTTCTGAGGACTTAAGCAGCCGGGGTGGGTCACGTGGGGGGGGACTGTGTGGAGAGTACGTTAAATGCCTCTTCCCCTGCCCTGCAGTCCTGTTATGTATCAAACCAGCACTCTTCCCACCATTGCTTTTTTGCAGCTTAAATCAGGGCTATTTTGGGGCAGGAACGCACAGGAACAGAGTTCTGGCTGGCTTCCAAGTTGGCCACACCCAGCAGGAACTCATTAGCATAATAGGCCACACCCAACAGCAGAAACTCATTAGGATTGGCTACATTAGGGGTGTGTGGCCTAACATGCAAAGGAGTTCCTGCTACAAAAAAGCCCTGGGTTTTGACAACAAACAAGGTAAACAGAATAAGAAGCAAAAGGTGGGTATGGCTGGATGAGCACACTTCTGGTAACATGTGGGTGTGGCCTAATAGGCCAATAAGCTGTGCTGTCAGGGGTGTGGCCTAATATGCTAATATGTTTCTGCTGTTGGGTGTGGCCTATTACGCTAATGAGTTCCTGCTGGGCTTTTTCCACAAAAAAAGCCCTGAGCTTAATACATCTGAGGATCTGATCATAATGTGGGCATAATATAGGTCTCTCTCCCCCCCCCCCACCTCCCAGGTTTATAGCAGCTCAGGGACCACTTCTTGCAAATAGTTCAGATGTTAGTCCTGATATTGGTTCATCACATTTACAAGCTACAGACTGGGCCCATCAAAGTGTGACAACAATATCTATGGCTGTTCTCCTTGCCCGATTATGCCTCCAAACCTTCTCATAGCGGGTCTCCATGCAGAGGAAGATGAAGTAGGCTGTGGCACAGGCCAAACATCCCTCCAGGTAGGAACTGCCCCCAATTTTCTCGGCCTCTGCATAGAAGTTGTTGAGGGTCTTCACTGTTTCTTCAAAAAGTTGTCGCTCAATCTTTAACAGAGGAAGAAGAGAGAAGTCACCATGAGAGCATGGGCAGGAAGACTGTTGATGACCCTCTCCCCCAATGCAAAAAGTGTCAGTAGCATGGAGGGAAAAAAATATTGAGAGCAGAAGGTGCTATGCTGTGGTGTGGCATTTGTGTAAGTGTGCATGTCGTACCTGTGTCAGGGGTGGTCTGTCTGCTTTGTATTCTGCATGTGGTTACAAAGGCTAGCCAGTTGGAATGAATCCCAGAAGCTAGTAAGGTTATCCCAAGTTTCCAGAACATCTAGAATATTAGTAGGTCACTAATACCCTGATCTGACTTCTAGTTTACTGTTCTGATATAAGGTCAGATTCTTTGCCAGTCAAAGTGTGAGCTATGCAAGCCCATGAGATAACTGACTGTACCCGGCTGTCCAGCTCAGGGGGAAATTTGGTCTGGAATTGACATGTGGTCCCATCGCTGTAGTCCCGTTGCACAAAGACTTTGGTGGCCAATGAGGCACTCCGCCGCAGTTCTTGCAGATTATGGACCTGGAGAAAAAACAGAGGTTGTTGGTTTCAGCAGGCAAAATATTGGGGAGGACCATATGAGGGGCTCACAGCTTATTCCATCTCCTGGCACTTGCTGGCCAGACAGCTGATACATGTGTCTTCTCATGAGTAGTCAGGTGATTCAATTTTTCACTGAGACAAGACTGCTGATTTTTAGCAGTCACAACAGTTTCATTGACCAACAAAATTTCCAGGATAATTCTATTATTTTCATGCCATTTTCTTAAGAGAAGGGCAAGTTGAGCTGCCCAAGGAAGACATTCTGATAAATAGCAGGGGGAGTAATACCACCAGGAAGAGTAAGGCCATCACCCAATTTTTAAAATCTTAATCTAATTAATTTATTAATTTATTAAAATGCAAGGCATTAATTTACAGATAAGTGTAATAAGGGTAATAAGGCAATTAAATCTGTATATGAATAAAAACAATAGCCCTGAAGCAAAAAAGAATGCCCATATGACTGGGACTGCCAAGGACATATAAAATAGATCATAAAACTATCACCATGGAAGGTCCCCAGAAGGCGATTTTCCTGAAATTATTTTGTACTCAGGTGCCAGCTGAATTGGAAAAATGATTAGGCTGAAAACACAAACTCGTTGCATAGATGATGTTGATGTTCATTCCTTATTCACAGCTCCTTATTTGAGAATCCAACCACAAAATATTGATGATATTTTTAAAAGGTCTGTACCCAAAATAAGTTTTGAACTACCCCCAAATCTACACCCCCAGACTCAGGACACTCTGCCTGTAAAGCCAGTGCTGTTCCCTGGACAAATGTCCAGATTTAGTATGAATGGCTCCAAGAACGCCCCCCCCCCCCCCGCGAGACCCCCCCCCCCCCCCAGGAGAAACAAAGATGAAGAAACTGGAGACAGCTGAATCTAAAAACAAGGTCTGGCCCACTTTAAATCATGTACCTACAGGCTCTAGGGACTGTGCTCCAAAGGGAGATGCAGATTCTGAGGCCACTTATGTTGTTTGGAGGGGACCAAAGCTTATTTTGGGGTGCAGAGTTTTATTAGCTATCATTAATATTTGTAGTTGGATCTGCAAATAAGGAACTACTGCGAGGAAATCGATGCAACTCCATATCATAAGAGGGCTTGGCGTGATGTGGTCCATTGATCTGCAAATAAGGAATTAGGAACTATGAACAAAATTCAGCCTCATACCACACCACACTGTCAGTTCATTTTTAATTTCAGCTGAAGGCCCAGATAATAGATAAGCCAAGGAGAGAATCAGCGTACAAAGGCAAGAACTTAGGGCTGATACATAGAACAACCCTTGCAGTGCTAAGGATGCACACTTAATGCATCTGATGAAGTGAGCTCTGACTCATTAAAGGTTATGTTGGAATAAATTTTGTTAATCTTTAAAGTGCCACTGGACTTCTTAGATTTTTGGCTTTCTTATTTAAGGGAGTGCCAAGAACTCCAGTTCCAGAGCAGAATGCACTACAAATGCTGCAGGCATCTGTCATTTAATTTTAGAGAGCAAAGGTCTTTATCCTTTTTGAGACTTAGCCATTATGAACATCTTATCAATAGCTTTACCTTCTCTCATTATGTGAATATATATCTTCAGTTCACACATTATCAGCTTTGAAATTCTAAAGTGAGTTCTTCCCTGCCTCTCCCTTTATAAGATGACGTTTTTGTTTGCACGTTTTATGTAACAAAAACACTCAGTTTAATTAGCAATGTCATTCAGTGGCTAGAGAATTAGACTTGGTTCTGAGAGGTCCCAGTTCATGTCCCATCTTTGCCATAGGCTACATGTAATATGTTAATTTGACACTTAAATAATGTATTACATGGCATATCTTACACACTTGCCCCAATGAGTGTGTTCAGCATCTTGGTCTTTGCCTTACTAATTTTGTATATTTTGACACAATAATTTCATAGCCAACATTATCCTTGAGAGAACCAAGCTATTGAGCTTATTCAAGAATTGTCCAATGTACCTAATAATTATACCCAAATACCTTCCTTTATCCTTTCCCAAATGCCCTGTTTGCATTTTAAGTAATGTCTAGATCTTAACTTAATTGCAGCATCCACAGTGCTTTACCTCAGCAATGATACCTGCAACTATGGGTGTAAGAGTTTATATTCTGTATTTACATGACATTGTGCCAGTATAATTCACTGTTCAGTAGCCAGTCTCACCAAACTGCCTTGGAAGTAGACTGCCACTACATCAGAAGTTTCCTAAATTAGTATAACTGGACACTGATTGTCAGATTCAAATGGACAGCAGGGCAGGACTCCCTTCCATACAAAATCTCTATCTATCCATCCATGTCTGCTTGCAAAAGTCAGTTCACCAAGCTACTGAAAAATCCTCCAACTTGGACTGAGGCAGGACAAACCCCAAGGTTTAACACACTATTGAAGAATGATGATGGTGAATCAACAGCAGGACAAAAAATAATACCTACAGTAGAGAAAGCAGGTTGACACAGCTTGCAAGCAGTGGTAGTTCAGAGCTGAATTTGCCCATAGTAAGAGCTTTATGATTACCCATAAGATGGTAGCTCATTTTGTATCTCAATGTACTTTTTTCCTCATAATGATTAATATCCTGGATTTCGACACCAGTCAGTTCCATTCCCCATCCCATTGGTTCCAGTTTCTAATGAGCTTCAATTAAATGCAACAGTCTAACCCTCTGTAACCACCCAAGAAATACAGTTCAGGAATCCTTCTAGCCCTGCCCTCTTTCAAAGCTTCACAGGCACATTCCATCTCCTGCAGGAAAGAAAGCGTGGGACAAGACATCATGACCATTCACAGTCAGGGCCCAGGTTAGTTCTAGCCAGAGAAAGCCTCTTTGCCCCTTGTAAGCCGCCTTGAGCCCGCTCCGCGGGGAGGGCAGGGTATAAATCTTAATAAATAAATAAATAAATATATATATCTCCCCAAAATGCAGCCTTCCTACTGGAGGGGAAGATCATGCTTCCATCCTTCTCACCATCTCCTTACAAGATGCCAGACCAGTTCTGGCCCACTTGCTTTGTTTATCTGGTGAGAAAGCACCCTAGATCTGCTGATTTATAGCTGAGTCTCCCAGCATCAATATTATTATTAGTTTCACAGGAGTTGCTCTGTTAATTTGTTGCAGCAAAATTAGTCTACTAGCACATTAAAGACTAAATAACAAGGTAGTTTTTAAGGTGCTACTGGGCTCCTTGTTCTTACATTTGGGTTCCAGGCTTATTGAACAGGAGAATGAACAGAGAATTTAAACTGGCCCTTGAAAGGCAAAACCATAGCAACAAGGACTAGGCTTCTGTGTATGTGCTTTGGCGGATAAAATTGAAATGTGGGTATCTGGTGGTGTGGGATTAAGTTAAGCAAACTCCTCCCAGAAGTCAATTGCCTGCCCAAAGAACCAAGACCTACTTTCCACTGTGGGGAGCAGCTGTTTGACACAGGATCTAAGTAAAGTGTGCCGTTTGGTGGGGGGTTCAGTGCCCACAACCTGTCAGTGCTTTGGCTCCCTCACAACACAGGGGCAATCCCGCTGCGGCTTTAGCAGGCTGCCTCCACCCCCACCCCCACCCCCATTCAGAAGCTGCCATCCTTCCCCTAGTAACAACCCTTAGGTTACTTCCGCTCTGGCTCAGCCTGACATCGCCTGTTCGGGGCTGCATCTTGCAATGACACCGGCCTGAGAGCAATGGGAAACAAGATCTTGTCCGGGGAGGGGAGGGGGAGAGTCCCCATCGTGGCTGTTGAATTAGCACAGTTTGTGACAGCAGCCCTCAGAAGAAGGGGTGGAGTGTGAAATGCGGGGGCTGGCTTGGGGAAAGTCTCGGCATGTCAAATTTAGTCCATACGAGGGAAAGGCACTTTTACCTTTCTTCACTCCCCCCCACCCCCTTCTGCCGGCTGCTTTGGGCTAGCTCCTGGTGGAGCGATGAATGGTTTGGTGAGGCTGCCGATGAAAGGAAAGCACACCAAAGCCCGAGGGGCTATGCCACAGGTATCCCTCTTCTCCCAACCATCTTCCAGCCAGACCCAAAGCACAACCTGGTGAAGTGCCAGAGAGCTGCTGCTACCCTGGCCCTCCTGCGACCTCTTGCATCTGCTCCCTGTCTATCCCCGGCAGGCGCTGCCATGTGCTCCACATGTTCTATCCTGGGAGACACCCTGACCCACAGCTGAGCGCAGATCTTTCCCTGTTGGCAACAACCTGCCTTCTTTCTGACTCAGGGCTGCGGAGTGGGGGGGGGAGGGGGGAATGCCGAATGGAGGAGGAAACTTGGGGGGGAATGAGATTTCGGAGAGAGAGATGGCGTCCCCAACCCAAACAGGTTCTCTGCGCGTGAGCTTCCTTTAACCACGGCAGACGCCACTAAATTGCGGGCACAAGTGACTCGTTCGGCCTGCAGTTCGACCAGGGATGCTGTGCGGCAGCAGCCGACGCTGGCTAAGAGTGGGGGGCTCCTGCTCTGCTGCCTTCTTGCAGTATTAAGGCACTACTAACGCAGGCAAACCTAGCAGCAGCCTCCCGTACAGAGATTCTGCCTGCCCGGCGGCTGTCATGACTCAACAGAGCCGGAGCCGCCTGTGCCCGCGTGTGCTGCTTCGCTTTCCTCGCACTGCTCACCTCGGTTGCCATGTTGTGCAGGGGAGGTGGATCCACGCGCTGAGCCCGCCGGGGACCGAAGCAGGGGCTGGAAGAAGGGGGTGATTCTCCCCGAAGCCGGCCGAAGAGCGCTGTCCCTGGTGCTGTAGGTGGAGGAAGTGCTCGAAACCCCGAACGGTCACCAGCAAGATCGGAAAGTCGCCTGCGCCGGGGCGGCGTCCGTGGCTTGGAAGCGCGAGGAGGAAGGGGCGCAGCGCCTGGCGCTGTCCCTGGTGCTGAATCGGACCTTGGGGTAGGAGCTGGGGGTGAGCTCCTCACCTAAGGTTGCCTGCGTTGCTGACGCGCTGAGAGACCCATTTCCCTCGCCTCGGTTCGTTCACCCCCAGCCTCGAAGCTCAGGCTTGCTCAGTGACTGGCAGGCACAAGGGGAGGGGGCGGGCTGCCTTCGTGGGAGCTGCATCCCCCCAGGGCGTCCCCACGCTGGAGCGCCGGGCTCCGTCTCCAGCACTGACTCGGGGGAGGGACATAGAGAGGCGGAGCCGTACTGAGCAAGGAAAAGAGCAAGTCGGGCAGCGCTCATTTCCTGCTTGTCCTCGGAGAGTCAGCATGCGGGCTACCTGCAGCACTTGCGCTTCCCAGTCTTGAATGCAGTTCTCCTTGATTTGGCAGACGCTGGGTCCTAGTTCCTTATTCCACA